ACAGCACCATTCACTTCTCTAGACCTTCTGTAGTGGCACGTGTTCCTTAAATATATATTGGAACATTTTTGCAAAACTGGAATTGCCACAGTTCAACATGTGCAAAAAGTCGAAAATCGGCTCTAGAAGGCGCATTTTTGCATCGATTTTCTTCGGGTTTTAATAGATGCTGTTTTATAAGGTTTAATATAACTAATAAAAAGATGGCATTCAGAGCCTCGTAAATTAGCAGTTCGTTTAATATACTCCAGGTAAACAGTAGGAAGACACAATCTTCTATCAGGAGCAAATCCCTTAAAACATAATTCACTTTGGTGAAACCCAGGTCGTGACTGTTTTATCAATTCTCCAATTTTAATTTTAATCCTATCTGTTGTACAATCAATATTCTTGATGTTTAAGAAATGAAAGGTCTGATTTTTTTGCCCAGAAAGAATAACTAACAATGTCAGAAGTTTAAAAGTTAACAACTTGAGACTTAATTTTCTCACAGGAGATAAAGTTTTCAAATATAATAAAACAATGTTGCAGTCCCAAGTAAACCTATTTCTTGGTAAAGCCGGACGCAAGTTAAACACTCCTTTAACAAATCGAGTTATAATTGGTACTGTTCCGATTGGTTTTCCATTTATAAAAATTAAACTTGACAATGCACATCTTGTCGAATTAATTGAACTGTAGCCGAGTCCTTTATTAAATAAAAATGTTAAAAACTCAATAACATCCTCTACAGAGGGCGAAAAGGGATCCACTGATTTTTTAGCAGAATACCATAACCATCTTTTGATGTGACTTGTGTATTGTTTCCTATTGGAAACTCTCCATGATGATAGCAAGATGTGCGTAGCTTCAACTGAAAATCTCTCTGTAGAGTACTCTTCCCTGAAACCACTACCGCTAATAGCTTCATTTTTGGTAATTCCATTACTTTCTTCGTTGGATGTGTTAGGATAACTTCTACACTAGGCAAAATAAAAGGAAAATCAATAAGTAATCTGATTAATTTAGTAAACCAATATTGTGTATGCCACCAGGGTACTATTAATATGCCTGTAGCCTGATCTCTTTCAATTTTTGAAAGCACACTACCTATCAAACAAAATGGAGGAAACGCATTCCATAGAAAGGAAAAAGCATTAATTCCAGACGCATACGGATCTGGTTTATATGCACAATAAAAATCAATTTTTGCATTTACTCTAGATGCAAATAAGTCCACAGTTGGCAAACCCCAAAAATTTTTTAATCTATCAAAAATATCTTGATTTAACTCCCACTCTGTGTTTTCATGCAAGAGTCTACTTTGTTCGTCTGCTTCTATATCTTATAACCAGCAATATGACTAGATTTTAAACATATATTTCTTTCTATACAAAATAGTAAAATATCTCTTGTCACATTATTTAAACTTGGTTTTTTGCCACCTAAGGAGTCTATATATGATACAGCAGTAGTGTTATCAATCATGATTAAAATGCATACATCTTTCATTGCTTTACAAAAAGAAAATA